GGCTTTGTGAATACGAATTTTCCGAGCGTTCAGTCAGTTTATTTCACTTCATTCGACAACTAGTGTCTGCTCTTTCCAGTCGGTCTTCACAACTATTCAATTTGTGCCCTCTGTATTCATCCTCCTGCTCTTCTAAAGCAGCTCAAGCACCACTCATCTGTAAAGAACTTGCTGCTCATCATGAACACCCATCTCCGACCTTTGTCAATTTCCTTTACAATCTCAACTTCTTATCTAGCCTCCTTCGACTTGCTAGCCGACTGATCTCTTCTATAACCTGGACTGACGCCATAGATACTCGTAACTTGACATCCGATAAGCGTACCACAACTCAGGAGCCAGATTATGAAATAAATTCGTCCTCTCCTAACATCATTTATTTGACGCCGCCATGCTCACTATTGGTCGACATATGCCTGATTCTCGAACGAGACATTGTCTCAGTTGACCCAATCGCTGGTTACAAGGTTGGATTAATAGTTTAGAGATTTTTTCTTAAGGCGTTTTTTTTAAAGTCATTTTTGTTAAAAATATTAGATTCGATTATTAAACTTCAAAGTCTGACAATTGAAATATGCGAAAGATTATCAGGACAGAACCATCGTAATAATATCATAGTATAATTCGCATCTGCTTTCATGTTTGAGTTAAAATTGTTTGAGTTAAAATTTAACCATAACTTACATTTTAATACGACTTCAAAGACTATATTTCCTAGTCGCATTTCTTATCTCGCCTTTTTTCATTCTCTTTGGATTATAACTAGACCGATCTTATTTAGGTGAATCATGCTTTTTAACTAATTTGCATTTTATGAAACCTTCTAGCGCCTATATTTATATTTAGCCAAATTATATAACTGTATAAGCTACAGACCTGTTGAAACTCTAGGGTCACTATGCATTTACTACTTCTTTTTGTGAATTACTGGCAAATACATATATTCATATTTAGAAGTTTTAGTTTTTGCAAGAAATTCGCCGCAGGTAGTGAGGTAAAATCACTAGATAAGGAAAATTACATGTATCTGTAGTGTTTTTAATTAAATTACGAACTAAAAATATAGTTTAACAAACAAAAACTAAAAACAAATGTCGAGTTTTATGTTTACTATTCTTAGATTTTTGAAGTGGATGATTAGGGATTCGTAGGTTAACTCCAACAGCAGACGCTGGCTGATTCCCACTGTACTGCAGCCATTTGGCTTTAATACGATGTTCTGGTTGACGCAGCCAACAGACATCCTCCAACGTTTCGGGCGAAGACGGGCTGAGCTTTGGTTATTCATATAACAAACTTCCTCAGAGCTATATATATATGTATATATTGCCCTGTGATTCGAGTACCCTCGTGACAGTGGCGTAGTGTTAAAAATTTATATTATATTACGCAGCGAATTTGATTCTCGCAAGTGCTGTTAGTATGATACAGATTAAGTCTAAACTAAGATCCAGCTTGGATGGAAATATCTCTAGGAAAGTTAGACAAATTGAAATTGAACGGCATCGTAAAACTAAATTAAATCGAGTTGGGAAAATTTGACTATTTATTCTTTGTTATCTTGTGCATCCTTGGGTGACTATAATTTCTATTAGACATAGTACAGCTCTCAAATATTCCCATTCGCATATTTCTGTATAGTTTCTACTTACTAACTTTGTAAAGTTGCCTGCAATTAATTATATTTTACCGATTGTGGTTTAGTTAATTATTTATTCATTTTCCCAACTTATCAAATTATTATGTCCATTCTGGTTTCTTTAGTTAGAGAAGCATTTTTTGGACGAAAAATACAGTTTTCTACTATGTTTTTTCCATCCTGATATTTATTTAATCGTTTTTATTGTTTGTTATTTATTCTCACTACGACATCACTCATTTAAATCTTATTTATTTGTGTAATCGAAGATATGAAGACCAAGATGGTGTGGCCTTTTGTGTGATCGCAGTCTCCTTTCGTTGTATAGAATTTGTTTGACCGCTGTTTTCGCAACTTGGTCATATTGGTAGGAAGACTTAGGGAATTCATCTGGTCCGGAGTCCGTTGTATGCATAATAATTTCCAAAGTCGGACCGTGGACGTGGTACATTGCCAGATGTTTCGCCGGCATCGTAGTCGGCATCGCCAATGAGTCCTGCCATTCTCAGCACCACACTACAACTCGTAAAAGAGTCAAGTGAAGCCGATCTTTTGACCAAATGTGTGATAAACAGTTGTGGTATCGTTCCTTCTGTCCTGGGCTATTCACATTTCCTATATCCTCGTATCACGCCTTCACTGTTACATTTTTTTATCCTGTTTATTTAGATATAGTGTGGTGTGCCCTTTTGAGCGGATTTCATGAGAACCCTTCACACTCCATGCTGGCGTTCTACCCCCCTTTATCCTTGTGGTGGGAATGTTGTTCAGAGTCTGCATATTGTTTGCAGTCCTCCTTGCCTAGGTCTTTTTATAATCTCTCTCTTGTCCCTCAGGATCCGTCTGTTGCAATGACTGGACGTGGGCTAGAATGATCTCAAACGAGTAGATTTGTTGATTGGTTTGCCTGTGTTGTCAAAAGGAAGATAAGAGATGCCATTAAATTAATAGACTACGGAATACTTTGAATTTGAGGAACGCTGATAGAATGTTGAGTAAGAATTGCTTATGCTTGTTTGATAGATTGACTAAGAGAGTATGGTGTTGGGCCGCCATCCAAAAGAAAGTGTCTCAATTTGTCCGCTCAGTGGTCGTTCAGGCTTCACTCACACTCGCTTAACATGTTCGATTAAGCTCATCAACCAAACCAGGCCTATCAGATTACGCAGCCTCAGTCGCGCTTTCCTTAGGTGTTTAAATCTTAATGACTCTAGACTAAGATATTTAGAGAGGTGGTTTCGTAAGCTCACACTATTGCGCATTGACGTTAATACACACACACACACCCTCGAGCACAGGTAGCAGGACCGATATGAAAGATAATTATCCAAATTATCCTATGCCTATTTATTTTCGTTTTTAGTTGAGTATATATATAAGAGCAGGATAGTCTTCTTGGCATAGTGTTAACGTGAGACTTTTGGAATAATGAATTGTAGCTCTGATGATGTCCATCATATAATGAACGAAAGTTCACCTCGTTTTAGGCCGATGCGAGGGACTATTTCTTGTGTACAGTGTCAACTTGAACGTCGTATTAAAGCCAAACGGCTACAGTACAACGGGATTCAGCTGTCGACTTCTGTGGAGATCAACCTACGAATCCCTATATGCACTTTCCTACGAAATGAAGGTCTCCCCAACATTGCTATTGATATAATAGTATTTTGCTATTTATGCTAAATTGTTTACATCTTTTTTTCCTTATCTCAGTTGCTGATCGATTGTCTTTCTGATTCATGCGCATCGGGATTTAAACGTCTTTTGCCCTGGCTGATGCCAATTTTGCTATCATCCTGGTCAACCTGCATATCGCGCGACTCTCATACTCATTGCCATCGAGACTTTACCAAGTTCGCCTGGCCTATTATCGGTTTCCCAGATTTCAAGGCAGCTTTTTCTAAACTTTCTTTATCCACAGCGCGCTGTTTTATTACATCTTGTTCGTGTTTTTGCTTTCTTTCTAATTACCCTTCCTCCACAACGGCACTCTTTCATTCAGTGATCCAGCACCTCTCTTCACGCGAAGTGCTTAGCTTACTGGCTCACTGGCTTGCTTGTTGTCCTGACGAACATTTGGATCAACTGAGGGTTGCTATTCGGCCCTTCCTCAACGTAGATACAGTTAGTTCACCTGCATTCAATTTCACTCCATCCCTATTGTTTAGCCAGCTCTCTAGTCCTCGAATCTTTCTTCGTCTTGCTTGCAACCTTCTCAATTGGCTGTCCATAAACCGTATTTCTTGCAGACCAGACCTGACAATCAATCCTGATCCAACTCTTTCACTTTACCAAATTTGGGTACTTGCGCTCTATCGTCTCATCTACTTTCTCTCTTCTCCTGATCGCAGGTTTGACGATTCCTTCGCCTTAGATAATTATGCGCAAGCTGAGGCTGTTCTGCGAGATTTTTTGTGTCCGTTATCTAAATCTGATTTGACTGACCAGTTGGTTGAAAATCTTCTGTACAGTCTTCTTCAGCTTCTACCATACCTTGCTCCCTCTTCTACTTATATTGTGCACCCTCCTCGCTATAGGGTGTCAAACAGGACTGATATTCTTGTCAGCAGTCTCCTAGGTGGTTGCCACGGTCAATTTTTAAGGTGGGCAGCTTTCTTTCGTCTTCTTTGCGCATTGATTATTCCTGATATCGCATCGGGCACTAGCCGCCTCCGCAAAAATCTGTTGGTTTTTGTGTATTGGCGATTAAGCATCATTTTTACACATCTCCTTACTCAGACCACCTCCTATCTGTCTGTCCATTTACAGGGCTTTTCAAAGGTACCTGGGTCAGTCTCAGATTCAGTCATCTCAAAGACTTGTCTCTACATTCAAATTGTGCTCATCTGCCTGCGTAACTTCCTCTCCTCCATTTTAATGCCCTTCTATCTTGATCTACTTCTGCCGCCCACTGACTCTAGTATTTCCGTTGACAACGCTTGCATTTCTATCTTTGTTCCTTCTCATAACATGCTTGTCTATGCTCTTGTGCATCTTTTACAAACTACCACAGTTATCAACAACATTATTTCATCTCCTTTTCAAACTTTAGCTTCAGAGTGCCTCGATTTGCTTTTGCCTAGCGGAGCCCTGCCACATCCTATTTTGGCTAGAGCTATTTGTCGGCTTGATCTTTTTCCACTCCCCACTTCTAGCCGCATACCCACAGAAATGCAACCTTCTGTGATTACTGAGTTACCCTTATTCTCCGTTTATCAAAAACGTCTTTTAGCAATCTGTGAATGCCAGCGCAATTGTCTAACTGATGAGACAAGACGACTTGTTTCATGCGGACAAGTCATTGGCCCGGGCCTGGCAGAGGCCCTCTGTTTTCCCTTTCTTTGGCGCCATCGTGCATCCGGTCTTAAGGACTTAACTCGTCTTCTTTCTGACCCTTGTCAGCAAGTACTGCCTTGGAAGTTGCTTAGCACCAATATAGCCTGCAGCCCCATCCGGCCAGGGCATATTGCTGATTTACTTCTTTGTACTGAGACTCGTCGTCCCCTTAGTGTCGATTTGCTAACCGCATCGCCAGCCGAAGATCACCAATTAGAGGAACTTATTTTGGGTGGAGCCAGCTGGGTGCCAGCCAGGTCAACTCAGACCACATACGACACCCTGGTGCATGATGTAAATTTTAATCTATTATGGTTGGCAGAACTCCTGGGTCTAACAATGCTGATTCCATTGTTGCGAAATGAAGATTCAGATCAAGCTAATGAAGACCCTCGTCATCGCTTTTATGATATCCATTCTCTGGTTTCATCATT